ACTTGTGTGCTTAAAAATCACTCTACTTACGAAGGTTATTAGGATTACATAGAAGATGAAATATTGAAATGAGTTACAAGATTTTATCCTTCTTGAACAGACATGGTAATGTCTAATCAAAGACATTAAAGAAAAGCGCTTATTGGGAGGCAATCTAATTTAATTTTAAGTTCATTTTTAATATTTTTATCTTAGGTTTCTAGTATTTTGTGTGTTTAATTTTTGTTTTGATGTTTTAGTGGACAGAAGACTACTACCATACATGCCATGCCCGTGCCTAACTAGCTGATTAGTTCTAAAGACATGTTCAAAAATTTCAAAAGATTACTGATCGATAAGTTGTGACCATGCCTTCAAGTCGCGCTTGTGTGAAATACCCCAACTTCATGATCAGAAGATTCTCCCCCTTTACGGCGTGTCTGCATCTTGTTCTAGTGAGCGGGGTAAAAAAAATCTGAAAAAAAAAGAAAATTTTTTTCCCTTTTCTTTTTCTCTTTCTTTTTCTTTCTTCCTTTATTTCCCTCTTTCTTTCTCCATTTCCTTTTCTTTCTTTCCTTTTTCTTCCCCAACCACGTGACACAGAACTTGGCTGCCTATTTCCATCATGTGGGTTTTGATCCACCTCTTCCTCCCTCACTGTAGCCATGTGACGCCTTCTCTACGTTCAGGGAAGTGTCGTTGTTCCCTTTTTTTCTATTTTGTTATTTATTTCTTACATTGAGAACAATGTAAGATTTAGGTACGGGGGAGAGGTTTGGACTACTAGCTAGGAAATAATTGTTCATTTTTTTCTTTTCTTTTTGCTAACAGTTTATGTTGGCTAGAATGAATATATGCAATCAAGATGCAAGAATAAGTAGCAAATTTATACTAGTTGAGCATTTTATCGTTTTTGGCAATGGATTTGAATGATGAATGTGTTGAATTTGACAAATTTTAACCATTTTGTGAGTTTGTTGAACCCTATTAATGAACATTTCATTTATGTTTTACTCTATTTTTCATTTGTTGAGTGGTTGTCGCACATGGTTGTGTCATTCTAAAACTCACTCTATTATACATGTCAAGACCGCATTTTGGTTGAATTTGATGCATGAAAATGACAAAGGCACCTAGGATTTAACCACTTTTGGCTTTCTTAAAGGACCAACCTTTACTTTGTTTACCGTTAGTGACACCATTTAAGTTTTTACCCCTTTTATTTGTTCAAAAATCATAATTGTTATCCAAGACCTTTTGTTTGACTTTCTTTTCGAATCTTGTGTTAAAGAGATACCTAAATTGAATTGCATGAAAAATTGTATGTATTGCTGCAAGGCAATTGAGTAAGTGAGATGCTCCACAAATGTTTGAATATGCTGAGGAATCAAGAAAAAATTTGTAAAAATATTGAAAAGCAAAAAATAAAAAAGAAGCAAAAAAAATAAAAAAAAAATTTTAAATTTTTTTTAAAAAATAGAGAGAGCATAAGTGTTGAAGTAGTAGAAGCAAATTGCTGAAAAATGTTTATAATTGTCAAGTTGAGGAAAGTGAGTGCTAAGTCTTGAAAGATTGGGTTTGAGGAAATTTTCATGTGATGAATTCTTGATATTCCCTTAACATGTTTACGCCTCAATTTACCTTTATATCTTGCCCTTTACCCTAACCCCATTACAACCTTATAAAAATCCCTTCGATTCTTGTATTGAATTCACTATTGGTAGTGGAGATGTGATATATTAGCAAACTTATGGTAAAGTCATTCCATGGTATCAATTTGAGAGTTATGTTATACCCTATACACCATTTAGTGGCGAGTACGCATGTTCGGACCTTTGTAAGGCTTGTTGAGTTTGGTGCATTCAAATTTTAATAAAGTTGTTGAAAGGGTAGGATGTTTATACTAGTATGATAGGTTGTGAGTTATTTGCTATCTTGATTATGTTTTTGAGTTTTGATATGCTTGAGAACAAACATAATTTAGGTGTGGGGGAAATTGATAGGTTACATTTTTGTTATTAATTTTATGATTGTTTCTCCCTTTTATTTTACCAAATATTGCGTTAATTTGTAGATTAAACTTATTTTTGGTAATTAATGTTAATTGTAGGGACTTGGAGTGAAAAGGGATTAAAGACGTGATTTTTAACTGAATTTCTGTGCAACTCAGTGTGGCGCATCGAAATTTGAACTCTGCACGTCCAGGAAGTTCGAGATTTGGCACATGGACGAGGGGCTGGAGCGCTCATAAACTTTTCATGGCCAAGATGTGGTGGGCCCATCATCAACGGCCAAAACGAAATCGAACAAAATGGAGATGAGTGTAGAGGATTGTTGCTTTAATACAAGCTTAACTTTTAACTCTGTTTGGTCTGGCCGTTAAGAGTATGAAAAATTCAAAATCAAAATTTGAAAATCAACTTTTGGTACGATTGGCGGGCTTTAAAACTCTTTCAACTTAAAAGATGTGGGAAGAAAATGGCGGTAGTGGATTTTCTCTGAACACAATACATTGTCGCTGTAGTTCCTTTTGTTCTTCTCCTCTCAACAAGCTCCTTCTGTTCTTCTCCTCTCAACAAATTATTTCGCATAACATAGACATAAATTTTTGTCTTCTTCTCTTCCAACTCTTAAATAAACCCTATCAAAATGGGCATCTTGTCTGAGGTCTGCACAAGATAATTGTGAAGATCCGCTGCAGCAACAATACACGCCGATTTAAGTAGTGGATGACTGAGATAGATATTCATCGAGTAACAAATGCATAGCCGAGACTTGTGAGCGGCCCATCTGAAATTCACTGCATGGTGAACTCTGTCCAAGGCAAAACGCTAATATTATATGTAATTTGATTGTAATAAATGTGTTATTTAGTGAAGCATGATTTAAAAATTATAAGAAGTATATCATTATCCTTTTAGAGAGAATGGTTAACTTTAACTTGTACAATAAAGATCCTGTACAGAATTTCAAAATATAAATGAGGATGTGTACAAATAAAATAACATAAGCGTAAAAATAATTTAACAATGTGACCAACTTAAATAACTACACAAACGGTATAGATGACAATGTATAGATTTTGAGAATTCTGTCAAACCTTACGCTATGTAAAAGTGTATGAGGCATACATGCATTTGTTATGTTACAAGTTGATATAAAGAGTGTACACATTGTTATAAAGTGTGTACATATGATTGTAAAGTATGTAAATACTGATATTATACACAAATTGGTTATAATATTTGTTTGAAATGTATAGTGCATCAATGGATCTATATAAAGAAATACAGGTATAGAATGCAGCTGGCCACTTTGTGACTCCAACTGGTTTGAAGAAATGAAGTGGCAGAAAAACTAAGAAAATATTGCGTAGTTGGGTGGACAGGTTTTATAGGCAAAAGAAGAACTCTAGATTGTTTGAGGCAAGCACTCCTGAGATGGTTAGTACCGAATCTTATTTTTGGACTTACATAACTATATCATTTCAATTGACTCTACTATTATAAGCCGACTGAGTTGTTGTATATTCTTCTCTTGTCAGTCATCAGAATCCTATCAACCTATCCAAAGCCAAACATCAAGCAAATGTTTGTCATCGAATAATTCTGTGACAGTAAGTAGTTATTTTTATATTTTACATAATGTGCATTATAGTTCACTGTTAGTTATTTAGGTGTTACAAATTAATGTTTTACTTGTACACATTGGTTATTAAGGTGTACATATTAGTGATAGAATGTTCATCACATGTTATTTATTTTTAACACAGTAATATCATATTTTGTACATATTAGTTGGTACACATTATGGCGATCTCTTAATTTAATAGCATTTACATGCTGTTGTTTTATGTGTACAAACTGATATATATGTTGTACACATTGATTGATACCATGTACCACTGGTTATTTTGTTTTGAAATATCGTTATTACATTTGGATAAATTTTTTTACAGATTATTAATTTATTTGCTCACATTTATTTTTTCAATCGTACAAGTTACAATTATTTATCACCCGTTGTTTAGTTTTGACATCATGTTATTATTCTGGTACACGGTGTATATTAGTTGGTACACAGTACGGAGATCTCTTCATTTAATAACATTTACATGTTGTTGTTTTATGTGTACAAACTGATATATATGTTGTACGCATTGATTGATACCATGTACCACTAGTTACTTTGTTTTGAAATATGAATAATTCCATTTGGACACATGATTACACATTTGGATAAAATTTTTTACACATTATTAATTTATTTGCTCACATTTATTTTTTCAATCGTACAAGTTACAATTATTTATCATCCGTTATTTAGTTTTGACATCGTGTTATAATTTTGGTACACGGTGTATATTAGTTGGTACACAGTACTGAGATCTCTTCATTTAATAACATTTACATGTTGTTGTTTTATGTGTACAAACTGATATATATGTTGTACGCATTGATTGATATCATGTACCACCGGTTACTTTATTTTGAAATATGAATAATTTCATTTGGACACATAATTAGACATTTGGATAAAATTTTTTACACATTATTAATTTATTTGCTCACATTTATTTTTTCAATCATACAAGTTACAATTATTTATCACCCGTTGTTTAGTTTTAATATCGTATCATTATTCTGGTACATGGTGTATTTTATCTTGTACACTACAAACCATATCATTTGAAACCTATTGCATAATTACTTCAATCTAATGCTTTGGTTATGTGTTATATTCATAGTAGTCCATAAGTTTGTAGTATAACTTTACAATGTATTCATTTATGGTCACGTATGTACTGAATTTTGATTTTTGTTTAGATTACTTTCGGTTGATTTTTGTTTACACATTGTTAATTCAGTTGAACACGTTGTTATATATTATGTACACATTTGCATCATAATTTTCGTACGACCTGGCATCTTAAATTTTGGACACAATGTGTATTTAATTTTTACAAATTAGTTAGTTTGCTGTTATACACAATGTTAGCATGACTTTGCAACTAATGTAATGTGCTACTTGTGATAACAGTCATTCAGTGAATCAAATTTTGGATCATCCCCAGTTATTCACTCAGATATACAATCTTGTAGGATGGTAAGTCAGATATTGCACTTGTGTGGATAATCAAGATTTTGGACAAATTTATAGTATCTTATTCAGTACAATACTTAATGGTAGCCCGGTGAAACTGGAATCACTTCTCAAATACTGAGTGCTCATAATATCTGTATTCAAGATCGTAACAATCTCCCACTTTTGCTTCCCAACGATCCTGTGAGCAAGACAAAGTACACAAGTTTCACCGAATTCTTAATGGTCAGTAATTCTTTAAAAAACTCATTATTTACAGTTATTATTTAGAACTATTCTAACCTTGTTACAAGACTATTGTAGGGCATGCTTTTATGAACACTGAACTTTTGATTTAAATAATTTATTGCTTGTTTCAATGATTGCCAGACCCCCATTGTGACCTCTGTGGAAAGGTTAAAGAGCAGGACTCTCATGCAATTAAGCGATGAAGAAGTGCAACTACCTACGATATAAATGGGTAGAAGCTAATTGCCTTCCATGAATATGTATGCTAAGCTGATGTATCTTATGACCCTTTTGGAACTGGATTGGAACAATGTAATACTAAAATGATTGTTTTACTTTTATATTAGATAGTAGTTTGAGAATTGCAATCAATGCAGAATAGTTTTACACCTTTTACTTCTATTCAATTGATTACAAGAAGTTATATATTCATCGTGGTGTCCCAACCCTATCTGCCGCAAACAAAAAGTGAAGCATGTCCCAACAGTAATGAACTTTGCTTCTAACACAAAATTCTATATGTCCCACTAGTAGTAAAAACTTCATAACTAATGAACTTTGCATCCAACAGTAATCCCAAAAGGAGATAATTCTATACAACACAAGTACAAAATTCTACGCAACACAACTCATAAATTACTAAATATTTGTCAATCATTTATTACAACTGGTTTTTTCGTCGGGGAGGGATATTTAACAACTCAAGGATGGATTCGGCCCATTCGTTATGCTCGGTTGCAACCAACATAGACACATATTGCACTCGATACTTCCACATGTTATCCTATCCAAGCATTGAAATAATCAGCACCACATGTTATACATTAGTCATCATAAAAATAATTGCTACCAAAAATTTTCTATAAATCAAAATAATATATATACCTCCGTAATGCATATGCCTAATCTTCCATTCCAGTGCTCCAGAAATTTTATTATGAACACACCACAATCATAGCTGAAACACGAGGTATACATTGTCATGGCAACCAGATTGTAGGACATACAAGTTTTACCTTACCATCCTAATAATATCTTCACCACATATAATAAAATAAGGTTAAAGTGTTATGTCCATGCCTACCATATTCAATTAGGTATAGATAATTCCAAAGGGCTATCTGAAAATTTTGGAAAGAAACATGTATAAGTTATCCATATCGAACATTAAAGTCACCTACTTTACAAGTGATATCAAACTTTCTGTTACTACACAAATCAGATGCAAGTCAAAATATAAAAAACAGTGCTCTAAACGATTACTAGTGTACAACTCGAGGCCCATATTATAACCACATAGGATGTTCCACCCATCCCCTCCATCTAGTAATCCTTTATCTAACAAATAGAACCAGGAGCTATATTTGCTGAAACTATGTCATAGCCATGCAGTGATCACTGAAAACAAAAAAGCACCGCCTTTATGTTACTATAATTTCTTTTAATGAAGATTTTACTTCAGAAATCTGAGTCCTAAGTGGCTTTATTAGATCACAACTTAGCATCAACAATTCAATACTCCACTCAGAAGCCAACATTCACCTTCAACAAGATCAGTGTAAATGTCATTAATGTGATGGACCAACAGGCTACTCAGTCTTGCTACAGTGATATTAGGCATATATATCTATGTAGAATTTGAGTATTCTCAAACTCTTAGATATTAGACCCACATAATCCTTATTCTGTACATAACGAAGAATATAGTTTCAGGAAATATAAGGACATATGCTAAGATATGGTGGCCAAGATTATCATGTTTAAAATGTTTTAATGATTTGAAACAAATTTTCCCACAACTGATAAAAGAAGAGCAAAACTTCTCCTAATTGAAAACACTTTCACTAACTGCTTTGCAAAAAAACATAAGTAATCATCTATCTAGATAAAGTCCACAACATCAGCCTTTCTCAGCAAGCTCATGTCTGAGAAATTTAAGCACAAAAACTTACCCTTTTCTGCGAGCTTTCAACCCAATACTTATTTGGCTTTGAAAACCTTAGCACAGCATCACCATCCTGAAAATGATAGCAATGCAGCTTAAGTTCTCATTTTCATTGTCTTTCCGCATCTTCAGTTATAATTTTGGGCTCAAGCCACGATGGTTTTAGATAGAGTTTAAGTTGATTTAATCAACTACTTGAAAATTTTAAATTTTAATGAACAAGACAACAATGGCAAAGGCAAAAGAAATTTTTCAAGCTTCTAGAAACCTTAAATTCAGTTTGCCCATCAATAGGCAAAAAAACCAAATATTTTAGCATATCATGATTGCCAAAAGAAAAAAAAATTTACAATTAGCTTGAACAGAATATAATGCAAAATTGAACAAAACAGGATCAGATATTTTTTTGACAATTTCTCATCTTTTCCTTTCGTTCTTCTAATATTGCGGGTTCTTTGGACTGATTACTAGATTTTCAATAATTTCGCAATTACATAAATTAATTAAAATCAAAATTAAACCACAGCAACTTAGGCAGCAAAAAATTGACATTAAAATTGAAAAGTTCAATCAACATAATTGAGAGGGGCAAAGAAAAACCCTAGTGAAAACGGAGACATTACAGGAGAAATTACTAGTTTGTTACAAGATAAAAATAAAAAATCAGGAAGAAGACATTACGAACCTGTAATTTCTAGTTAACAACGAAATTATTACTGATTACGAACTAGTAACAATGAAATTACTAGTTCGTAATCTAGTAACAATGAATTACGGACTAGTAACAACGAAATTACTAGTTCGTAATCTAGTAACAATGAAAATACAGAGAATTTTGACCCCAATAAAAAATAAAAAAAATGTCAAAAAAATGAAGAGTATCAATGTTGTTGGTACATTACAAGGGCAACATAGGAGCAGAGAGTATAAAAGATTCCATCTTACCTTGGATTATGCAGTTTCTCCTCCTCCAAAAAACACCGTAGGTCTTCTTTAGGACGAATTCAGGCAGTTGTTTTGGAAATTAGCAGACAACGGGGAGTGAAATGGGAGTGATTTTGTGGAGTGAAATGGAAGTTCTTTTGTGAAGTGATCTTTTGCATTAGCAGACAACGGGAAAAGGGTTTGGGAAATGGGGAAAGTGAAATGGGGATTTTTGATAAAAAGGAACTTTTCATTAATTATTTGGGCGGGATAAATTTGACGCCGTTTGACGATGATGCTCCATCAGTTTCTACAATTTTTATTTTTTTATTTGCCACTCAATAAAACGACGCCGTCTTCTTCAGCTCATATAACTTTGTGACGTGACTTTGTTTTGGCCGTTGATGATGGCTCACCACATCTTGGCCATGAAAAGTTTATGAGCGGTTGTCTGATAACCGCTCCAGCCCCTCGTCCTTGGCACATGGTCTCCAATCTTGAATTGAAGTCATCAAAGGCAGATTCTCAACTGCATGGATAGTCTTCTACTCCTATTAAGATATTAGTATATCTTTTTATTAATACCTTGAAAAAAGGACTTGTTGCTTATTAGGATTAGAACTCTTTGGTTGGATAAGTAGTTGAGTAGGAGTAGGAAACAACGCGAGGACTATCGTTTCTTTATTCTTCCTTTTATCCGAACGAGAGACTAGTTAGCAGGGGGTATCGTTTCTTCTTAGGAAGAAACAAGAGAACCGAATTTGTTTTCTTTTTCTATGGAATTCATCTCAATTGGAGAATGGCGACAGCAATAAATTCCAATGTTTCGCGTGTGGCTTTTTCCTTGACGATGAACTAAACACTTATTTCTAGTCAAGAAGCAATGGAGCATTTGGTTCATCTAAAATTATGAGAACGAATTGATTATATTTATTTCCTTTATTTTATTGGTATTCGTATGTCCTCTGATTTAATTTTTTATGGTTATTATTTTATTTGAATATCAAGGGCGTCCCGGTATTTAATTTAATCTAATAACTTAAAATTAGTTAGAGCAGTTTAAATCCATAATTATTTAATTACTTTAAATTAGTGGTGTCTAGCGTGATTAGATTTGTGTCAAGAGAACATATTGGTTAATTTAAAATAACTCTCATAATGTATTATTTGGTTAGAACAGGGTTCTCTAATTTTTAAGCCCATTAGGAAATTGAACTGTACAGTCGTACCTAGGGTTATTTCTTAATTAGGGCAGTAGTTAACGATTGTACCTTGATTATTAACACAGTAAGGAGAAGTTGATTGTCATCGCGTATTTGGCAGTTATAACTTATTTATCAGTGAGTGAATGAAATTATTATTGCATCATGATCAGTTGAGTGAACCATCTCTGAAGTTATTTTTTGACTAGAGTTTGTCTATTATTACTTCCATTTTAATAAATTGTCATTTAATTTTCATTTGTTTATTTTATCTAAGTTATTTAATTATTTTCATTTTTATAAAATCCCCCATAATCTAAACTCTAGAAGGAACGAATTTTTTCCAATCCCTGTGGATTTGACCCTACTCATGCTATATGCAAAATTTGTATTTTATTTGAGTAGGTATTTATTATTGCACAAACTCGACTCCTGTCAATTTTTGGCGCCGTTGTCGGGGATTGGTGCCTGATTAATTTGTTTCTTTTTTGAACTCATCTTATTTTTATTTTTATTTTTATTTTTTATTAGTTTATGGCGGCTAACATTCAGTATTTTGATGATAGACTGGATTTTATTCCTAGCAGAGGTAATGAAGTTCGTGGCTTTTCTAATGATCAACATTTAGATACACTAACCTCTCATGTAGGTTTATATCATGGCACATAACCTGAATTCAAATTATGTACATTCATAACTGCTAATATATATAAAAATTAATTGCTCAATTATTAGCGCATAAAAAGTTAATTCAAAATAATAATATTGAACACAAGATATTACTTGATTTGACAAATTAGACCCCTACGTGTAAAATAAAGGGTTAAATTCCAAAAGAATCCATGAGGTTTAGTGAATGGTCAACTTACCCTAGTGAAATTCCAGGTTTAAATTCCAAAAGAATCCATGAGGTTTTGTAAGATTTGAAATTCCAGCGAAATTTGTCAAAAGCTGACCAAGTTCGTGATCAACACACCTTTGGTGCAACTTTATTTAGTAAAAGATTTTTTTTTAACACAAAGTATGACTTTTTTTGGTGCAACTGAGATTTTAAGCTTTATAAGGAGGAAGGAAAAGGAAGAGTTTTTGAGAGGCCAGCCAGTGACCTCATGGCCAGTTGACTAATATTTTTATCAGTTAAATTGGGTCTTTTTATGAGGGTAGCATCCCCCTTTTGTAACTAATCCTTGTAAGGTCAAATGTTCATATCTATATAATGGTATCGTTTGTTGAAAAAAAAAATAAATTGGGTCTTTTTGACATAAAAATAATGACTTGACTTACATATTATCCCTCTTGGCGTAAGATAAAACGCGCGCAAATCATCGTCT